ATGAAAGATGGGGAAATTGAATATGGAATTGGTCCAAGAATCATTTTTTTCTCTAAATCTCTTTGCACTAATCTAATACATGTACCTAAATGATGTTAACACAAAAATTGACATTATAAGTATTTGAGAACAATGAATATAAATTGATATCACCATAAAATTTGTACTTACATGCACCATAATTAAAATATGGTTATGTTAAGAAAATTATTACCATTCATAGTATCCCTAATACAACTCTTTTGAGGTGTACATGGGTGTATATTCACGGCATCTAGAGGGAGGATCACCCTTTCTTTTTATACTAGTTCACTTATTCCTTTTCTTATCTTCGTCCACCTTCTTATCCCCCTCATCCTTCTTGCTTCCTTCGAGTTTCCTTTAACCTCTCTTCATATTGTATATACATTTTTGCTCTCTTCCAAAACTCATTGAAATTCAGTGATTCTTCTATGCCTATGTTTATATACAAAATTTGACCCCTCCTAAAGTTCCAGACTTAACAAATATTTCTTCATTTTATTGTCAACATATTTTACTAAGACAAACTCGTTCTCCAACCTTTCTATCTAAGGTTTTATTGGCATTTCTTCCTTAAGAGTGATAGAACCCAAACTTTCCATTGTCTTTTATTTTCTTACAAGACACTATGAAATGGGTCGTGAAGCACCAGAGTATCTCGTTCCACAAGTTGATGAATGCAACCCTTAAGCCTCTAAGTCAAGTTATCACTTTTGCTTTCAATGTGAGAATGAACAATTTTCATTTCTCAGGGTTGTTCGCGCCCTAGATATTAATAAGGCTATCTACGGGTTCAATATGGTCATCTGGTTCATGGTTTCGTCTTAATTCCCATCCCCAAGTGTTTTTGAAGATCCCGGTTGATAGAATAATTGTTGATCGAACGTTTAAATGCAATCCTACTTTTGGTGTCTTCTTAGTCATCGGGCCTTTTGCAGGAGAATGACAATGTTAAGTCTCGGTGGTATCAGCTACAGAAATGGCGATAACTGAAATTTTGATTGTGAATGTCTATGCAATTTCAGGGTCTCTATATAAGTTGTTATTGAATTCGAGATCACTGGCAATAGGGAGACGATGGTCGACCATTTCTAATGAACTAGACACTTCTTTCGTGTACCTATATTGCACCATGACATTTTTCGTGGTTTTAGTAGTAACTAGAGTTGAAGTTGTCCTCTTTGACCCGTCACATCCTTTCATTTTGTGGTTCCATTGCAATTAATTGTCTCTAGATGACAAGTAACATACCTTGTAGTATTAAATTTGTCCCATGATTGATTGTTATAGTTTAAGAGATTGGAGACTGTGGAGTATCTCCATTCAGGGGTTAATTTATAGGAGGGAGGGGAGTGTCCTCGATCGACAAATGATTCATCGATGGTGGTGGAAGTATGTGTTTTTTGAGGTGATGAGGATGTAGTTTTCTTGTCTTGAAGATCTTGAGTGATTCTAGCTATTACACTAGCATTGGACTGATGTTACTAGCCGCAGCGTTTGTCGTTACCTTCCTACATTTGTTCACCATAAGGCCTTGTTGAGTGAGAATGTAGAGATGTTAGAGTTGTTACTCACAAACAATGTCAAATGATTTATAAAATGGATTTTTCTGATTCACGTGTTAAGGGTGAAGTGTGATATGGGGGTGACTCCAATGAAAATTTCGAACTCTACTCTAATATAAAAAAAAGGATGGAATGGTACTTGCAGACACTTTGACGCCTAAGTTAGTGACAACCACAAATATGATGTTTTAGGGGTTAGAATAATGTGTAAAAGGTTGATGTACAATCTTTCTTTAATAGTAAGGTTCTATGATTTTTCAATGACCTAGAATATCATCTCTGTTACAACTTTCTAGAAAGACATATGTCAAAAGATCCTTGAAAATATGGTTTGACGATCTCCATGATCATATCATCTTTAATCATGTGTACTTCTCATGTAGTATCAAAACTTTCTTTATGGATAACTGCTACGGAGAACCGGCGTTAGTAGTATAACACCAACGATTCTCATTTTCTTGAACTGACGTTTTTTTTAAACTATATTGACTTTAATCTTGTACGACATTAGGGTGAGAACATTCTATGAAACCTAGGCCAATTAAGACATTCTCATAGTGTAGATATTTCATAATATCTTATAGAGCCATTAAAGGGATTCGAAACCCCCTATCATGTCTTCTTAGTAAAAGTATTGATTTCATGGAGCAAAGAGAGTGTGTCTTTGGTCCATAGTGGAATCAGTTTAAATATTAACAACCAAAAACAAATTTGTTGTTTATAACACCCTCTTCAATAATATTTCATATCAATCTTAATAAATTATTTTTTCTTTGTAATTTTTTTCTATATTTTCTGGATTTGGTTATGTCTCAAAGATTTTTCCCACAATTTTTAATGATTTTATGTTAATTTTTAAAAAGAATTAGAAATTATTGATAAAATGAAAATGAAAATGCCAGAGTCGTTTTTCTAATTGAAAAAATGATAGATCCATTTACCTTTGTAAATTCTAATAATTTTTACTCAATATATACGTATATATAATTATTATAGATGAAGCCCTAATAATTGTAAGAATAAAATAAATAAAACACTAATTTTAATTTGTTATTATAATTTCAAAACATGTTAGAATTGGCGGGGTTATGGATATTCCCACTAACCGTCAAAACCGTTCATAGTGCAAGTGGAAACAAAAATCCCATGGACTCAATTCACATTAACCATAAAATAAAAACCAATAAAACTCCGCCACGTCACACACCAACAAAACAAAACCCTCTCCACCCTCCACGTGGACAAGTGCATCCACTTCCCATGTACCCTACCACACAATCACAAAACCGTCAATTTCATTTCAAATTTTTTTCTCACACAATAAATCAACAAAGAAGAAAAAGAAGAAACAATTGATCAAATCAAATGAATGAAAAAAAATTGAAAATCATGGAAAGAGAATTTGAGAGAGGTTACATAAAAAAAGGACCATGGAGTAGTGAAGAAGATGAAGTGTTACTGAAACATGTTAACAAGTATGGTCCAAGGGATTGGAGCTCCATTCGATCCAAAGGTCTTTTGCCAAGAACAGGAAAATCTTGTCGGTTGAGATGGGTTAACAAGCTTAGACCAAACTTGAAAACGTAGTAACAATTTCTTAACCTTTTTTAATTTTCATTGTTTGGTTCACTTCATTTTAACATCAACATTGATTTCTTGTTGTTACTGCTTTTTTTTATTTTTGTTTTTAGTGTATTGTGTTTGTTTTTTGTGCTTATTTTTGGTTGTCAAATTAGACAAAACTTGTTTGTTCACTAAACTTTAGTACAATTTTTAGTATCCATAACTATGAAATACGATCACATGAAACACGACATTAACACAGACATGTCAACAATAATAGTTATTAGAAAAAAACATGAAAAAATTTAAAATTATCACAATAATAGTCTATTTTTAAGTTTATTAAATAATTGATGTCTCTAGTAATTAGATTCAATTCAATTCAATGTGTCAATGTTATTGTTTAGGTGTTGGAGTTTGTGTTAATTTGTAGAACAACAATGTGGTTTAATTTATAGTGATGATAGAATAATATTGTATGGAGATTTTTGTTTTATGATGAAAGTTTGGAATGTGTGATTTGAATTATAGTGGGTGCAAGTTTTCGGCAGAGGAGGAAAGGGTGGTGATTGAATTACAGGAGCAATTTGGAAACAAATGGGCGAAAATCGCTACGTATTTGGAAGGGAGAACAGACAATGATGTGAAGAACTTTTGGAGTAGCAGGAGAAAAAGGATGGAGAGGTCGTCTCCAAGGACACCATCGCCGCCGCAAAATCAGCAGAAAAGCAATGGAAAAGATGTTGCTAATAATCAAGTGAAAGTTGAAAAGGTTAAGTAGAAACTAGACAGGTTTTTTGTGTTGTTTTTGTACTAGTTTGATGGTGAATATGTCTGTTTCAGGTTCCTGAATGTGGTTCTAATCAGCTGGAGGAAAACGTTACCTACCCTACTTGTATGGGAAACAAAGAGGTGTTCAAGATGGTGAATCTACCAGATTTGACAAAGCCAAACTACCAAAATATGGAAAGTGACATTAATGGAATAGAGTTTGAGGCTACTCCACTTCACACGGTACCGTCGTTTGAGTCTTCATCGGCGTACAACTTTCCTCTACTCCCAGAACCGCACATGGACTTTCCGCTATTCCCGGAGTGCCAGGACCTTGTTCAAGAGCCTTTTGATCCCAATTTTATGGACATGTTTGAGCAGAAAAAATGTTCAGATTGTGTGTGGAGCCAGAAGCTTGGAATTGAAGAAAATTCTCAGAGTACAAGTTCAAATTGCTTGTTTAAAGACATCTCAAATGAGATTTTTGAATACTTTGATTAGTAGTCATTTAGCTCTTATTTTACATGTATGGTCTTTTCCAAGTATGCCAATGCATGAACTTGTTTCAGGTTTCTTGATTTTAATAGAAAAACCTGAAGATGCATTACTATCTAACTAGTCTTGTGCAATTTTTTCTTTTGCTTATAAGTATAACTTGAACAAAATTTCCTTCAATGATATACTGTGAACTCAAAGGTCCTAAGAACGGCTCGAACGTATTTTAAATGTTCATAAAAACTGTTTGCGGCTGCATCAAACTGACCTTCATACATATCTAAACTATAAACAGATCAATTATCATTATTCAAGCTTAGGACCACAATATAACAGCAAATTTGTGATGAGAATTTCTGCAAGCAGTGGATAGTAACTGTACAGTGCTTTTGCAATACTCCTCCACACACCAAAAAATCGTAAAAGACCTAGAAAATCAGATGCCCTACTGAACCACTATCCGACATATTTCCCAGCGTAAAGACAGATGCTATACAATAATCCTCACGTCCAGATTGGAGAACATTATTCCAAATTCAATGCATCCTAGTCGAAGAATCAATGAAGGATAATGAGTATAATCATTCATTTCCAAACTGTCTCGTTGGCATCGGTGAAGACTGCATTATGATGTTCTATGAGCATCTGAACAACCTCGATTGCACCATAGTCAACTGGCATGCCATCATCCAAAGGAATAAAAGAAGATGCATCTATGGCTTCACCGTCATCTGTGGCAAAAGAAACAAGAAAATAAGATAAATGATAATCTCTGATCAGCACTGATCCAATGCAGACCAAGTTTTAAGGTCAATAGAAGAAAAATAAACGACAGTTGAACTAACATTTTCACTCTTCAAGGATATTGTGATTAGAGTGAAATGTTGATCATGAGTTAAAAGTATAATTTCTAGCAAATTTTAAACTGCTAAGCTACGCTATGCCCTTTAAAAAGAAGATCCCAAGAGGCTAATGTATGTTAAAAGATTTATATGTTTAGGTGAGATTTTTCATACCAGCAAGCAAGTCCCGGGTAGTTGAACCAGATTCTGGATCCAAGCTCTGTTTGGAAGGACTTTCTGACACGTGACTCCAGTATTGACGATAAAACTCAGGTCTATGTTCCTTTTGCCACATGATAACAGGTGCCATTTCCAATGCAAGGCTCCGAGGGTCCATCTGAAACAAGTCAAACAATAATGTTGAGCATGCTGATCAAAACTAATTTGAATGTAGAATATAACAAGTAACAACAGTGTGATTGTTCTTAAGGTCAACCATTTGATGGGAAAACAAAAACTGTAAAACACCATGATGTCATAATCAGGGAGTATGAAGGTTTGTCATTATGACAAAGCAAGCTATGCAAATTGGAAAACAGTGCTAAAACGAGGGGAAAAAGAAGACTAGAATAGGAGAGAAAAAAGTTACTTAACATGGAAAATCCTTCAAGAAGTTAAAACAAAAATTAAAAATATGATTAAGGTACATAAACTTGCCAGTGACATAGAGCTTCCCAAATCAAACAACGAATACCCAAAATAAGACCATATGAAGAAAGCCTAAAGTAAACCAGGAACAAATCCAATTCTGGAGAATATAAAGTAAAAATAGATTAACTAGTTGAAAACAATGCTTTTGTTTCTTACTGTTTCAATATTTTTCTTCAACTTCTTTGCGCATTAACTAACTGTAACTTTAAGAACTAGTGTTAGTTAGATAACTTTATTATGCTTTCAGAACCTGTCTAGTGATATAAATGAGGTTCCTCACTATAAAAGATTTGTTAATAAGATTTTTCACTGAGAGTGGGAGAATTCTGATTCTGAAATAAACATATATTCTGAATCATATTTTGCAGTGACTATGCTAAGAGACTTATGATTTCGACCTAGAAGAAGACTTAATTTGGGGGATTGATAGAAACCAATGGAAAACCACAATTGATTGGGAACAGAAGACTATTAGTTTTGAAGAAAATAACTGAGTTATTACACTGAACGAATACTGCATCAGAGATAAGCATCGTACTACTGCATTGCAGGGACTATGTCAGAATGGTGAAAAGACATAATTCACCTTGCGAGTGAGAGATGATATGCTATCAATAGAAGCAAGTTATCAAAGTGGGGTCAACACATTAGTTAGAGAAAAGGAACATGTGACTTCATCCAATAATTAAGGGGATATTTCCAGCCAAAAATATGTCAATGATTAGAGAATAAAAGGAGAGCGATGTGGGTAGGATAATTTGCATACCCTGTAGAAAATTTTGAAGCAGCACTGTACAGTCTTCAAAGAGCAGAGAGGGCATACTAATAACTTAAGAAATTTTTGCCACAACTCTGAGATCATGATCACATGATAACTTTGAGGTAAGGGTGCATACCAGTAAGTAACTGTAAATATCACTATGCTTACTATCAAAAGGAGGAGACTGAGAAACAGATAGATGAGATGTTATCTGAGGAATTAATTAGGCATAGCACTAGACCCTTTTCGAGACAGGTTATTCTCGTAAAAAAAAAAGGATGGATCTTGAGGATGTGTTGATTACAGGGCATTAAATAAGGATACGGTGCATGATATGTAGCTTATTCCTATAATTAACAAGTTGTTGAATGAATTGCATGATTTCAGTAGGGGGAAACTCGGTGCTGAATAGCTCAAGAGATTAGCTCTGAGCGTTTTGTACTTAATAAATTTTAATGATGAAGCTATACAAAGGGAATCCCTTAATTATAGGAATTTAACTATCATATATCAATCTAATTATACCAGAGTTATTATATACATAGAAATAACAAATATTTACATAGAGGAGGAAATAAGAGAGAGATTATCTCGTCAAATATTCTATTAATCACGCCATATCTCAACAACTCCCATATTTTTGCAAGATTGACCTCGAATTTGGGTTCCTTAAATTAGAATTAAGGAAGAGTACTTTCTTAAAACGGATTTAAGAAATACATTTAGGTCACTATAAAAAAAAATTATATCCTTCAGATTAATGAATGCCCTGATGAATACATTAAGGTTACAATACAGTTGAAATACAGTGGTATCACAGCTCAGCGAGAGAAGAAATAACAAAGTGAACCCAGATGTAAAATAGAAGACATGTATTCTCTCATACAAGGGAATTGAAGCTGTTCTAATGCAGAAAAATAAGCCCATTGCCTCAGTCAGGAAAGCCCTCTCACTCTGGTTATGAAAAGGAAATCATAGCTTTGGTAATGGTGATGAACATTGGAGGAATTATCTCTAGGAATGAAGCTTCAAGGTGTTTACTGACCATAGAAGCCTCAAACATTTGTTACAAACAATTACAACAGACCAGCAATGTTGGCTCTCTCTAGTAAAAACATATAATTTAAGCATCTTTGTGGATTTCTATGAATAGTGTTTTTAAGTAATTCCTTCCATAGACATTAAAAGCCACTAGAAAAAGGGCAAAGCAATTATACTATTACTTAATTATAATTATAGGAAAGAAAATATGTATAAAAACAGTAAAGAAATGGGCCACAATTCCACCATACATATTCATCAAATAGAAAATAGTAAAATGGAGAGCTCATCCATATAGAAAACCCAATCTCCCAACTACTCCCACTTCCACCAAAATAATATTCACATACTTACAGAAGAAGCCTACCTTATTGAGAAGTGCTTTCTGGCTAGCACGAAGCAAAAGTGCGGTTATAAACTCCAGAGTCATATAGTTCACACTGGAAAGCTTCTTAAGTATGTTTCTCATGGAATATATATTGGATCGTGCACCTTTGATCTCATTATAAAGCTCCAATGTTGTCAGAGGCTCGGGAAGGCTAGCAAGATAATATTTCACAAGAGCTGCTACATCAACTGGATTTGAGCCTTCTGGCACTGAAGCAGTTGAATCTGCAACATGTAATATAGAAGCAAATATAGCACTGTATAAGTCTAAAGGTATATAACCTACCAATTACAGAAAGAATGATCAAAATACCTTGGTTGTATAGGGAAACCAACTGGTGAATAACCTTTTTGTCCCCTTCAGATTTAAAAAGATATGGCAGATTCAATCCTACATATAATTACAGTCACGGGATTACTACTGGATTAAAATACAACCAAAAGAAAAAGAAAAAATAAATAAATGAACAGAGCCATAGAGTGATACATGGACATAGAACTTTACTCTAGAAAAAGCTACCTGATACTATAAGATAATCTGCACATTTGATCAATATCTGAGGAATAGGCTTGATGCAATCTTGCCTCTGTACAGTAACCTCAATAGGAACTCCAAATACTGGGATCAAGATTATGAATGATTAACTATCATAATGCAGGTAGGCGCCAATTTTTAATTTAACTATACGAAACATGATATACTGCTATATGCAACTTAACAGATAAGCAATGATAAAAAGTGAAAATGGAATTCATCCCAAGATTCCTTGTTAGGGTAACGGAACTACTACTTAGTTAGCAAAAAAGACCCTAAATAGTTCTGCAAAGTCGGTGAAAGATTTTTGATGCATGAAAAGAACGGCTCACTTGTTCAGATATGTTGCAAACCTAAAATCAAGCAATGAAACCGTAATGCAAATATGAGATCAACAATGGATGATTTGTAGATATTATTGATGGAAAGATAAATGCAGAAGGGATCAAGGCTCCCAACTACCTACAGAGCTAGGCTCCTAAGCCAAAACAGAAATGATACTTTTTGTGATAACTCCTCTCTCACCAACGAAACCCATATAACAGAACCCAACTAACATTTCCTAGGCCAACTCTCTCCACCCGCCACGTCATTCTTCTTTCCTTGCCTTCTATACACACTTTTGGACAACCTTGATTCTCATGACCCACGACATCTGCTAGGGGCCTATCAAACTATGTGGTTTGAGAAACTTACCATCATTCCTAGCAACTCCCTGAAAAGAAAAGACAGAAAGTTAGAACAATTGAGAATGATCTATGCTAGCAGTAGCAATCATATGTCACAAACGTCATTACCTTCTGCCATCTTTCAATGTCTGTCAAGATAGTTTTACTCTTTTGTGCTGTTACTTTTGCCACCTGAAATAAATGATAATGATGCCAAAACAAAAAATAAAGTATATGAGCATCCACTTGGTACATAAAAAATAAAAAAAATAGAATTAGTGCTATCTTGGTGTATGACTAACGGATAAAGATATAGGAAGTATGAAAAGAGAACAGGGAAAGAAAAAAATTAATAAAAATTAAGGGGTTTTGAGTATACAGTTTTAAAATATATCATATGAAAGCTTATGGCATACATGCTTAAATTCAATAAAATATTTGCGTTTGGATATGTACATTGATAAGATAAGATATCTGTGTTCTCAATTTTACTTCAAAGAATAAATTTTGGGGATGGATGAGAATTGAAGAAGGGATTTGGGGAGTTTATTAAAATAAGTTGAAAAGCAAATTATGAGTGTATCTAGGCAATGTTTGGATAAACAGCTTAATTAACCATTTACAGCATAAGTATCATATAGCTTATGTGTAAACTGTTTCTCTAGCAAAAGATAAAAATAAATTCAAATTGTTTTTATATAAGCTATAAGTTGTTTTCAGAGATCCTAAATATTTTAATTGAAATAAGTTGAAAATAGCTTATGGGCATTTCATGAGTTGTTTCAATAAGGTGTCCCAAACAGTCTCACAAGTGCTTGTGTCAATAAATAAATTCAAATAAGCCAATCAATGTGAACAGACCCCTAAGCTATTTGTATAAGTTTCCAAACACTTAGGGAGCTTATTATAATAATTTGAAAAACAGCTTGCTAAGCTATTTATATAAGTTCTTCCACACATTTAAAGCAAAATAAACTCTTTCAAATGCCTCTTAAGTCCAAGCAACACCATTAAACTATCTATAACAAAACCAAAAGTCATCCACGTCAACAGCTAGAATTATGTAATGCCGAGTGATTTTGGATAAGGCACTCCCTTAAACAAAAGGGAAGTATTAGAGGTAATAAAAAAGACAATATATGTATTGTTTTTAGCTTCATATTTATTTGATATATTTTCATTAACACTAACAAAAATGGCCACATAGAGATATCATTAAATTTTACGTATTCAAAATTTTGCTATCAAAATGGTGAAAAAACGAAACCTAATAAAGAAGTACACATCTCAATCCCTAATCATTTACACAATCACATTACCTCTTCAACCTTGGATTTTCCCACAACCACCTTTTCTTTTGTCCCCGACAAACCTCTCCTCAAGAACGCGCCAGTTGTAGCAGCAGCTGATATCATTCGATCCTGTACGGCATGTCTTGTGGATGGCTGCTGAAGAAGTGCCCACCGACTTTTAACTATAGTTCCAACTCGTCCCGCCACTTCAGCTACATTACTCTTTGTATCCTTTGTGACCTCGCCAACAAATGTTCCCGCAGACTCCCTGGCTTCTTTAAGCTTGACCCCTACATTAAATTTATAGCTGAACAATTAGAGACACAAACAAAAACCATACAGTAAACAAAAAAAGGGAAAAAGTGCACAAATTTAGTTAAAGGTACCTGACGAAGAAAAGAAACCAGACGCCTTATCCTGCCACTGAGGTGAGGTTACAGAAGGCATTGAACCAGAAGCTAGTAACAAAATCAAACCAATGGCAAAATCAGTTATAACTCGATCATGTACAGAAGTAAACCCTTAAGAGACAAGTAAGTCTAGAACAGTGATTCACAAAACTATAGTCATCATCATCATGAACTCACTCACACAAACTTCTGCTTTAAAAACCATAAATAAAAGTATTTAAAGGATATGCACTCTCTCACTGTAAACTAGTGTAAATAAAACCAGTTTTGCACTACATCTAATGAAAATCCACTATTTTACCACATCACCCCACTATATAAAGGTGTTTTGATATAGATGGTAGGCCATGAAAAAATTGTGGTCTTTCATTCGATGACAGTATAAAACCGGTTTACATGGTCAGGGTAAGCCTAATAAGGCCCTATTCAAATAAACAGTTTAACTAAGGGCTAAATTGTCAATATCATAAGCATACACTTATCGAATAAGCTACTTACGAAACAAAGATCCTCTTTGGATTAGCTTATTTGAGTTTATCTACTGCCATAAATTTTGTGACACAGTATAAGAAACTTTATCAAAATAGCTTAGGACATTTTGTTATATATTTTTTTGAATTTATTTTTAAATTCTTTGAGATAGCTAGTGAAAAATAACTTACAAAATATCTAAAAACAATTTAAATATATTTCATCTTTTATTACAAAGACAGCTTATGCAATCTTATCCATAAGCACTTGTGTTATAAGCTCTGTAGCACCAACACCTTAAAAAAAAAAGGCGTGTATGTGTCACTGTCGGTGTGCGAAGTAACGAAACCGATACCGAAACTCTGATTACATTTAATTTATTCGTTTTTTTCAAATTATTACCGGTGTCTACGTGCAAGTGTCCTATTTCCTGTGTGTGTAAGCTTCAAATAAGTTGTTTGATCAAACAGGCCCAAAAACTGGTTTCATATCCCAGAGAGCTTTTCAGAATAAGCTAAAAACAGCTTATGGACAAAAAATTCTCACAATTGTCAGTGTTAATAACTTCAAATCAGTCCATGTAATCTAATCATAATCTCAAAATAAATAAGAATAATCACTCAAATTAGTCATCAGATTATGATCAAAGGCGATCAAAATATCAACAACAGTTCTTACATACTCCACTATAACAACTGAATCGATCAAAATCATAAATAAAAAGGAAAAAAAAAACAGAAAACAAGTTTCGATTAGGTATGAAAGATTCCGAAATGGTTAAAGCGAATCCGATAAAAATTACCTGGTTCGGTACTGTGGAAGTAGAGAAAGTTAGAGAGAGAAGAGTGTGTGAGTTTTCGGAAGAGAAGAGAGAGAAATGGCTTTGGAATGGGACTGGTGTGAAGAAGTCGTTGGATCGATTAGATAAGACCAAAAGTATAACGGCACTTCTTTTGTCTTTCACTCTCACCTTCACCTCTAACCTCAATAGTCCAGATACTAACTCCAACTTTTCTATAAAATACTAATGTTTTATTCTTATAGTAAAATAAAATAATTTAAGAATTTTTTTTTATTTGATATATTTCGAGAAGAATTAGTAATTGATTATTTTTTTTAAGTAAAATGTCTATCCATTTTATATAATTTAACTAGATTAATTGTTATGCAACTATTTGATGTAATTTTCGTTTTAAAGTCTTAAAGTGACCCTCGTTATAATAAATAAATTTTGTTTTAAAATGATTATCACTAATTTTTCTATTTTTCTATTAAATGGAGGGCCAGACTTTAAAGAAGAGATTACATCGGAATTAATCGGGAGTAAGAATCTCTAACAAGTTACTCTCAAGTATGTAAATAATAAAAGGTGGACAAGAATCAAAATATACATATAACATTTAAATGAGAAATTACATTTCTTGTAAAGCATCTGCACATAAGTTTGCTTCGCGGTAGACATGCATGATTTGAATATCCTTATCTTGTTGAAAATGAGATCTGATTTTTATGATCAGCTTTCTTCCCATGATGTTGTTTGAGTTGCTAGTACTTATACTTGTTGAGAGTTAACACTAATATAATGATTTTTGAGCCCTAATTTGTTTGCAAGTTGCATACCTTCAAAAATCCCCATAATTCTTTTTAATAAGAATCACACACTCCGATAGACTTAGAGAATTCCCCTAGCCACTCTCCCTCATTACCTCTAATAATGTCTTTACATCCTACGTTTTTTTTCTTGTTTATGGCCTCATTTGTGTTCAACTTCACTCGTCTCATGATAGAAGCTTCCGACTTTATAAGTTTCAGTTTCCTATAATGAGTCGTGCTTATATTGGTTGAAACTTTCGCCTGTGCATAAGTCTTATTTATATGGGTTATCATACTCGTTGATCCAGAGTAGATGTCAAAATGATTCTCTTTGTTGTACCAACTCCAAAGGTTATAGCAAGCAGTGGCCCAAAAAGCCTTCCAATCATCATTATTATTCCACCTCATATTGTGTTGCATGTTACTATGTATCCATTGCTTTAAGTTACCTAAAAAAGAAATATCATGTTAGTGTACACCGCTGATGTAGAAATAATTCTTACTTTTTCAATTATTTTTTTAATGATTTTTTTTTAATTATTACTTCATACACTACTTCTAATACATTAATAAGGCTAATTTAGTAAAAGTGTATTTCCTCTACCTCACACTGAGTAATCCATTTAGAATAAAAAAAAATGACCCAAATGAATTACTCATTTCAATTTCCAATACACATTTTTTCAATTCTACTATCTAATTAATACTCTATCTATTCCTTTTTAGTTGTCTTTTTTTGTAAATATTTTTTACGCATACTAAGAAAGCTAATAATTTTTATTACTTTTTTAAATAATGATTGTTTTTTATCTATAATATCCTTAATCATTTATTACTTTATTTGACTTTTTTTTCTCTTCAATAAATAACTAGGGATAATTTTGACAAAACGACAATTAGTATTACCTTGAACATCAAAAACGACATTTAAAAATAAGCAAATTTTTTACTTAAAAATAACACTTAAAAAGGAATGGATGGATTATTACTTTCATCATTCTCAATACTTGATAAGGGGCACTTTAGTAAAAATATCATTCTCTCTTTCATTTATTCATTTTTCTTATATGTGTGAAATGATCAATTGAGTCACTCGTTGTGGAACTGAGGGAGTAATATCTTAGGACAATATTATTGCATTTCTTGATTTGTATGTAAAAACCTTAAACGACAATCATTTTGAAACGGAGAAAGTATTTTATAAGTAATTAAAATAAAAATCAAATATCTTTAAACATTTAATATTTTTTATCCCAAAAGAAAAAGGGAGAATACATTATAACACTCCTCATGTGAGGTACCAACAAGGTTCTCAACATAATAAGCATACACATCCTGGGGACACTATAACACCCACATATAATATATGTCTAAAATTTTCATATCATACATGGTTGCAAATTTGGTACTGAAATACATAAGTTCCTAGTAACACATTATACATAATACATGCCAAAACAAAACAACTAAAAGTGGCATAATATACACACAAGATGTTCAAAATACAACTAAGCGCCAGATCATCAAAGAATAATCTCAAAACAAGAGTCTTCACATCGAAAAAGCCATCCAAAATGTGAGATAAGTAAGAACAATCAAGCTATCTTGTCCATACCCTTCATTGAAATGGAACTACCTGAAAAACAATCAATAACATGGGGTGAGATAATAATCACAGTGGATTCCCTATCTTATGGGTTATCTTGGCTCTACAAGATTCTAATCAATCTAGTACTTCAAGTCCCAAGGGGAAAAGGGGAGGAGACTTGGATTCACAATACTTGCACTATATGGCAACATGTCGCTTGAGTTCAACAACTCAAACTATCACTAATCGGAAACCATACCAAGACATCTTTCCCCGACCAACCCTACGTCTAGAGTTATCAACACGGGTCATAGATCCTTGTAACTACTTTGACATACGAAATGGATTCGGATTCAAGGTAATTTCCACATGAACCGTCGCTTTCCATGGGACCACCCCCCATCTCAAAACTTTCACTCGTAGACTTCATTCATATACACGGGACTCAAACTTGTCAAAGTAATAGTGTGTACATCCTAAAGGAGCTCTACATATGCATATACTTTTGAGACGGAATATCTCAAGAGTTGTTGCCAACTACGTGATCAAATACACCAAGCGTGATCATACTCGACAATCACAAGGCAAACACATTCACCTTAATCACAACAACCAAAACCAACACATGTTCCATATAGTGCCTCACCTTACCACTAGATAGCTACTTGTCAAAGATGCACATATAGGCACCAAATGCACAAGCATTGTTATCTAATTCATCTATTATGTCCTAGTCATCTTACTAAGTCATATCATTAATTTCCATTAAGGGTTTTCCTCACATTCCTTTATAATTTCCCAACCATATTATTAATAGTACAAGCCATCGATTAATCGTGGTAAGTATGCACATCCATCATAATAATCAATGCAAAACAATCCATGATACAAATAAACATGTGTATGAAGCAACCAAAAAATTAACAAAGAAAAAGGTGCAAACTCTTCCATACTCACAATGCGACGAGAAGGCGAGGTTGCTCGCTATGAGTTCGTTGTGTGAACTCTGGGAGAATAAGAGGCAGAACCAAATGGCTTTTATGGTCATTATGTGAGCTCTAAGCGAGGGGCTCACTTTCAATTCATTGAAGGCTCGTAGTGCAACGATATCAGAGTTGCAGGTCACTTTCAACTTGCTGGGAGCTCACTGTGCGAGTGATAACACGAAATCGTATATATATTTTGATGCATAATTCAACTAAAGTTTAACTGTTTTCGATCCGATTTCGGGTTATTTCCGTGTTATTCGTCTGATGTTTTGCAGGTATTTGATGATCACGTCTAAACAAGGCATTATGAAGAAAAGAAGAAATCTCAGATGAAATATGGACGAAAAAAGAGTGAAAACATCATGAAAAGCGCAGAAGGCTGTTTTTGCTGCTGTG